TAATTTTCTTTTTACATTAGCAAAATAATTTTAAGTATTTTTTGAAAAAACACTTTATCCACTTTTGCCTTATATTTTTAATTATACAATATTTAAATTATAAAAATATTATTATGAAATTTTCTCAAAAATACTAACTTATAATAACAGAAACAAAATTTAAAAAAAGTTTAATATAAATTTCAGCACCTCATTGATGTTTGAGCTAATTGAGTGATTGCATATTCTGGATCTTCAACTCCATAACTAGCTAAATAGGGATCTAATACTTTTAAATACAGAACAGCATCTATATTTAATGTAACATTATCAGAAGTGATTGCACTCTGTTTAGGAATAACTATAGCAATTTCCTTCAAACTCTGGACATATCTTACTTTATCTAAGAGTGGTAACAATAAATTTACTCCAGGATCTAATACTTTGTAAAATTTTCCCATACGTTCTACCACCCATGCCTATAAAGAGTAAACGATATTAATACCTGCAGAGTTCAATACTTAGTTTTTAGTACAATTATAATGATAATTTTTTATACCTCTTTGTGGGGAACAAAAACAATACCGGTATTCATTGGATTTCGATGAACATATCCCTTATGTCTAACAATGTGTAAACCGGCTATCTCAGCGTATTTCTTAACCAAAAAAAAAAAAACAAAAAAACAAAATTAGCTTAAAAGTTCATTTAGATTAAAAAAGCAAGTATTAGTTTCTTTTAATATATATTACCTTTCCTTGATTTGAACCAATAAGTGGTTTGCATAAAAACAAACATCGGCTGGCCAACATTTTGAAAATTGGACTTCGGTATTAAAGAGTAAAGGATCAAAAGTAAGTTAATAGAAAAAATTAAATTTTACTTATTTATTCTTCTAAATTGTTACTACATATTATCCTCACCAGGATAAAATAAAATTAAATATTATACTATATAAAATATGAACGAAGTTAAAGTAAATAATAGTATATAGGTTTAAATAGTAAATTATTATTATGTAAATAGCGCAAGCGCAGCGTATATAAAATTATAAAATGGCTTCCGGCAGATTGATATTATTAAATTACTTATTAGTTTTCTCATTTAATGGTAATATCTCAAAAAAAAAGTAAATCGTAAAATTTATTTACTTATAATAAATTTATTTGTTTGATAAAACATATTTTGATATTTTTATTATTTTACTTAAATGAACTTATTGTGTTTTTGCAATATAACTTCATTATTTTTTATAATATTGTTAACTCTAATATATATTGTATCTATTTATAATATATTTTAATTTAGCATGCTATGTAAATCAAAAAATATGAAAATTCAAAAATGGGATGCGGTTTTGAAAAGCAGGCAATGTTAATATTTAAATTATAATTATCTTGCAGGTTTCAATTTTTGATTTGTTACCAAGATAAAGTTTACAAATGGTATTTTTCACACACAAGTTTTTGTAATTCATCATGAACTCAAATATAAAAAATGTTTTTTATCAAAAAATTTGTAAATTTTGAAATAAACAATTTTTATACTAAATAGTGCACTACAGTTATTATTTGTTAAATTTTGAATTTAACTTAAGTTCAAGTGCAAAATGTGAATTGTAATGGGTTTAGTGTATTAAATACTTTTTTTACATATATGTGTATATATATAGTTTTATTTAGTGTACAAGTGTCTTATTCTGTTAATTACTTGATTAAAAATAAACAAAATGACAACCTCTGTGTTTAATGAACAACAATTTGAAAATAAACTTATAACTTTGAAAGATTCACAAGAAGCTATTAATAATTTATCTTCTTGGTGTCTTCAAAACAGAGATCACCACAAAAAAATAGTGAATTGTTGGTTACATTGTTTAAAAAGAGGTAATTAAATTTATTATATGATGAATTTTTTTTTTATTTATTTATTGATGTGTAATTATTAATTATATTTTCAGTCAAAATTGAGCAAAGACTGTCTTTATTTTATTTGGCTAATGATGTCATTCAATACAGTAAACGAAAACATTATCAGTTTGTTGAAAGTTGGGGTACAGCATTACAAAAAGCCACCACTCTAGTCAGAGATGATAAAGTTAAATCAAGAATAATGAGGATATTTAAAATTTGGGATGAAAGAGGAGTTTATGATGAAGCTTTTATATCTGATTTATGTGGGCTTTTGACCACTAGTGTTAAAAAAAAAACAGAAGCAAATTTAGATTCTTCAGAGTTTCAGGTAGGGTTTATAATTTTTTAAACTATGTATGCACCATTTTTAATTTTTGCAATTGTATTCAAATTATTTACTATGTTTTATTTTGAGTTTTGTTTATTTCAATTCTAATTATTCAACATTGACTTTATGAATATTAATAACAGTGTATTGTAAAAATAAACTTTTTTTGTTTGAATTAAATTTTCTAAACTAAGAAATATTTTTTTAAAACAAAGTTTTTTCTTTCAAATTTTCAGCCATCAATATTAATTTCCAAAATAAAGGAATGCAAAGTTTTAGAAAATGATACAGAAATTAGGTTCAAAAAAGTAAAAGAAAATTCATTGCATTTATTCGATGTAGACAACATGAGAACATCTTTAAAAGGTTATCACTACTTTTCTTTGATTATCAATAGATAAAAAATAATAAATGTAATTGTTCCTTTATGTGTGTTGTTTAACCTTGTAAAATGTTTTCGTCCATAGATCGTAGACATGGCTCTGATGTAGTTGCTGAAGTTGATGCAGAAGTAAAAAAATGGAAGCTTATGTTAAAGCTCTTGAACTTGAAATAGCTGAAAGAGAAAAGTTAATAGATTTCCTTCATCAGGGCCACTTTGTTTACGAATCTCAAAGAGGAGAAGCCAAATTGTTTGTAATGTAAGTACAGTAGAAATGTATGTATTTCATATTTCTCATATTGAAAATATCTTACATATTTGTTATTCGATTATTATAAGAAATGTAATTTGACAAATCGTAATGCTCTAAACATTAAAATATTGTTTGGTAGATCATTATTATTATTATTAAAAATATATATTTAAAAATGGCATTATGTATGTATTTATGGCCTTTTAAATTTAAAGTATATTTACATTTATTTTATGAATATTTTTTTTAAAAATTTAACGAGTTACGTATTTTTTTGATTTTAGGCATATCGCAATTTCGGAAACAAAGTGAAAATATTGAAAAGAAAACTTGATGATTTAATACCAACATTAACTGACAGTCCAATACCATCTCCTGACGCAAATGCTCCATCTCCTTCTCCAGATTCTGATTTTGAACTACCTTTAAATGAAAAAACGAAACAATCAACAAATTATGAAAAGAAAACAAATTTTTCTGAAAATAATGGTTTAGACTTTTCTTTTATTAATAGTACATTTATGGGAAACTCACAATTTTCAGATATTAATTTACAGGTTTTTTTAAATCATTTCATTTATAATTTGTTTTTTTTTTGTCGTTTAAAAATTTAAACCGAATAAAATTTGTAAAAAAAAAAAAAAAAAATTTCAGAGAGATATATTTAACGACTCAATGAATTCTGCTCAAGTTTCAAATTCCATGTCTGGTAGCAATCACGTTTCATTGAATGAAAATGCTGTGAGACCAATCGAAGTAATTAGCACTCGAGAACAAAAGGAAGATGTAAGTTTTAATATTACAGACTTTTTAAAATCGCTCTTGCCTTCGGGGATTTCCAAGTCGGAAGAAACTTCGGATCCTTTGAGGTCTCAACAACCAGCGTTGGAACCATTGCAACCGCCTCCGATGCCTCCCATATTTACCACCAACGATGCTTTTTCGGTTAACTGGAAATCTGATTGGGGACAAGCACAAAATTCTGATGTGGGAAATTGGAATCATGAACCTTCTTCACAAGACTGGAACTTGTCATCGCAAGTTCAAAATTCTTGGATTGATGAATCCGCATCGGTTTTAAACGCGGATACCCCCGAATCTCCTCCTTTATATGAAAAAAAAGGAATAAGTCAGCCTGTGGAATATGATGACTCTTTACCAACTGTAAGTTATATTTTGATTTTTGTAATCAACTACATGTATTGTAGTAATTTATTGTATTTTTTAACTAAATGATAATAAGAAATTTAAATTTTTTTAAAAAGCTGTGATGATTTTAAATCATTATAATTATTTTTTAGGGATCCATTGTAGACGTCGATCATAGAACATTATTTCCCGTTCCGGAAATTCAGGATATGGATCACAGAATCGAAGTCTCCCATCGTATTGATGTCGATCATAGAAAACTCAATAAGCTCGGTCCCAAAGATGTCGATCACAGAAATTTAATTAGTTTGACAGGGTCGCCCAAAAACGAAACAAAACCGTTACCGCCTCCTCCAGCTTTCGTGTGGCCAGAGGATCAGGATTATAGATGTAAACTTACTGATACTGATTTTAGAGTTCCTCACAGGTCTAATAATTTCAGTGACGTATTAAACTCAAATTTTAACCTGTCTCGTTCCCCTATGAAAGTAACAAACGTTGAGGCTCCCGAGCGAAAAGATGTTAATGTAGAAAGTATAGACATGGATGTCAGTGAGGAAGATGAAGAAGAGTCTAGTGGTTTAATACAGTTAGAAGAAGACGTGGACGATAGGATAGTCAGTTCGATGAAGTCCTCTTTTCTTAATCAACCTAGTTTAAATAACTTTAATACATCTTCTAGTTTTATGGACAATGTAGGATCGACTATTCCTCCGAATGAGGACGTCGATGAAAGACTGAAATCTATTTTCGGTGGAGTTCTTCAACGTGCGGGAGGTAAATTAGTCTCTCGCGAGGAAAAATCTGCGGAAAGTAAAGGATCATGTGTTTTAACTGAAATTCGGGATAATAAAAGTGGAAGTGAAATAATGGGGCAAGAAAGTCATTTGCAAGGAGGAATCGAACCCAACGGCGTCGAAAGCGACTTTACGGATCATAATGAATATTTTAGAAGGGAATCGATGTGGCAGCCCGAGAGTCAATCGGAACCCGCGGTTCATCCTTGTCCGACCAACGTTCACCTCAGAGGAATGAGTTTCGGCGTGAGAATGGGGCGTAATTCTCCTCGTCCGCTTCGAGTGAGGCCTCAACACAGATTTCCTTTCAGGCCTCATCATCCGAGAGCTGAAGGAATAAGAGGACGGCAGTCATTCAGTCCGAGACTTCCACCACCCGTACGAGGAGGTAGATGGTGACAAGGTCGGTTTAATTTCCCAGTACAAGAAAATGATCTCCTAACAAAAAATAATAATAATAATAATAATGATAAATTCAAGGTTTCTGTTTAATATAATTATCATTTTCAGTTAATCTGTAAAAATTTGCTGCCGGTGCAAGCAAAATATATTAACACGAGCAATAATTATTTTTTTAATATCAAAAATAAATATTGCTATGGTTCACATCTTCAATATTACTTTACCGTTTGTTACTTTTTTTTTTTTTTTTTTTTAATTCTTTTTCTTACAGGTTTTTTTCATTTTTTAATTTCTTCAACCGTAGTATGATAAAAAAATTTTAATTGTTTACAATTTTATGTAAATAGATTTATGTATGTATATATATACATATATAAATTTAGTTTAAAAAAAAAAAAAAAAAATTGATTATTAATTTTAGTAAGTAGGCTTTAAAAACCATTTTAAAAAATATTTTTAGTCAAATTAATTTTGAAGGAATTTTTCTTTTTTTTTTTTTTTTTTTTTATTATGGGTTTTTTTTTATTAAAATTATAATAATAATAATAATAAATAAGTTGTAAAAAAAATGGATAATTTAATATTATTTTTCATCACAGGATTAAATTTAAAGATGGAGTTTTTTTTTTTTAAGGTTTTTCAAAATTTTTTTACAAAAAAAAAAATTTATATAATAAGTAAGTTGTAAAAAGTTTAATAGATGGTAATAAATATAATAAAAAAAAATGTGTACGTGTGAAAAATAATTGTAAAAATTAATACAATTAATTAATAATTGTAAAAAAAATAATTAATGTATAAAAATTAAAATCATAAGAAGAGGTAAAAAAAAAAAAAATGAGTTGAATATTTTAAACTTTGCCCCGGGTTTTTTAAAAATTAATTATTATTATTATTACTAAAAGATTTTTTTTAATTACAAAAAAAAATTTCCATTTCTTATATATATGTTAACTAATTTTGGGGGGAAAAGAAGAGGGGGGGGGGGGAACACAGTGGAAAGGGGAAAAATTTTTTTTTTTAAATTAGGGAAATTTTAAAAAAAATTAGGTTGGTGGTTTTTTTTTTTTTTTTTTTTTTTTAAATTCAAATAACATTATTAATTTTAAACAAAATAAGAGAAAAAAAAATTTTTATCATCAATAATTATTAAAAAAAATTCAGTTTAATAATATATCATCCTATTACCCATCCTTAATAACATCCCAAATCATTTGTTAATTTAAATTTTTTTTTTTTATTTTTTTTTTTTATTGAAAGTTTTTAAATTCATATTTTATTTATATTAGAAATTTAAAAAAAAAAAAAAAGAAAAAATTGTTAGGAATTTATAATTAAATTTTTTTTTTTTCTCACCAAAAAATATTATTTACTTAAGTGACAAAAGTAAGTAAATAAATCAAAATTTAAAAATTTTGATTATATCAGGATTAGGATTAGGAATTTGACAAACAAAAAAATTGTTAATAATTTAATTTCCCTTAATAAAATGTTTATTTAAAGTAAATATAATCATTTAAATCCTATTTAAATCAAATTATTTAAAATTAGGGGATTAAATAATTGATTAGAAATTTTCTTTTTTTTTTTTTAATAAAATCAAAAATAATTTTATTTTGTTCTTATTTTGTCACACTTTTTTTTTTTTTTTTTTTTTTTTCTAATAAAAAATAATAAGAGTGTTGAAAACTTTCAAAATTTTATATTAAATGTTAATTTTTAATTCTGTGATATGATAATAATAATAATAATTTCAAATTAACAATAATCAGGATAATCACATAATAACATTTTATTCATTGATATCACAAAATAACATAACAAATAATGTTTAACTCATTTTTTATGTTTTTTTATGTTTTTTTTGAAATGAATTTGTTTTGCCTTGTGCTTGCAGTAAATTTAAATCCAGACATTTTTTTTTATACATAATCTTATAAGAATTACAAAAAAAAAAGTTAAATTGGCTGTGCAATGAAATTAAAAAATCAAATAAAATTTGTAAATAATAATATTATAAAATGTCTGTGTGTGTGTGTAAAAGAAAATGCATTAAAATTTAATTTTTGGGTAAATTTATATTATTTATTATATATAAATAAGTAAAAGTGACCCTAATGTGACAAAAAAAAAAAACAATTCATTGTCTATGTAATAAAAAAACAAAAATTCCTCTTGAAAATTAATTAAAATAATTTATATTTATTTATTTATTTTTTTTTTCACCCTCAGATAAAATAAGATACAGATAATAATGAATGATGACCACCACCACCACCATCAAGTTCTTATCAAAGAGTTCTTCAACTATTATTACCAAAGAAGATGATGATGATGATGATGATGATGTATCTAGGAGGTTGACATGTAAAAACCGTTTTTTTTTCATATATTGAATATATATTGGAATGTTTTTATAAAGTTTTTCCTTTTTGAATTCTTAAAAGAGGTTTTTTTTTAACTCAGTTGGAAAAGGAAAATAACCTCCTGAATTTCATACATAAATTTTGTGAATATGAAGAAACATAAGAAAGGTATTAAAAATATTATTTTAATAATGGATTGAGAATATTTAAATAATAATAATAATAATAATAATAAAATAATTTTAATATTCATTTCAGATATAAATACATATATATAAAAAATTTGGGGGTATAAATATGAAAAATTTTGAAGAATTCATAAAGAACTGCTATCCTAATATATTATATAATAATGGGATTAATTAATAATAATAATAATAATAATAATAAAAGGTTAGTGTTAAATTTTCTTTTGTTATTATAAGAGAAAAAAAAAATATGCATAAAGTTTAAGTTATTATTATTATTATTTTTAATTTTAGGTAATTAAATATATATTTAAAGAAAAAAATTTATTTAAGTTTAATAATATGTATATAAATATTATAATAAAAGGTAAATTTTATTTTATACAATGGAAATAAATTTAAAAAAAAAATTTTATTGCCATTGTATGGTAATTTTATGTAATTATAATTACAAATTTTTCTTATTTTTTTTTTTTTTTGTAAATATTGTGATTAAGTCTTCCCAAAACAAAATTAGTTTTCTTTTTATATATATATATAAAAATAATAATAATAATAATAATAATAATAATAAAATAATTTTTTAATTGTAAATAATTTATGTTAATTTTTACAAAAAAAAAAAAAAAAGAATTTTTATTTAAATATTTTATTAAATTATAAATAAAAAAATGTTTTGAATATATAATATTATTATTAATATAATATTAATGAATATATAATATTATTTAATATTGATAAACCGACAGGGGAGGGGAGGGGAGGGGAGGAATTAACTAAAATTTTTTATTTTATTTTTAATTATTAAGGATCTTAATTTATTTTTGTTTTGTTTTTCTGGATGAATTCTATTATTTATTAATTATTAAATAATTAGGA